CAATCTTCGAAAAATCTTCTTTCATTTGTCGCATCTACTTGCATCGATTATCATCTTTTTGCAGGAAATCTTCAGAATCGTCATCAATCTTCTTTCTACACACAAATAACAAAAATTGTTGCTATAAAAATAATGCAATTTCAAAATAAAAGTTTTCTAAATTTCGTAGTTTTAACTGTGAAAATTTTCAAAATGAAAGTTATATCTTTGGTTTGAAAGTGTTTCTTTCATTTCGGACTTGTAATTTTAAAAGTACATTTTTTAAAATAAAAGTTGTTCAGCTATCAAAAATACCTCTTCATAGTAAAGTTTTTGGCAGCACTGAACTCCACTTAATTTACCGCCAAATTTGAGTTGGCGAGACGAGGAAAACAAATCGTTCTACGGAAATCAAATGCGTGGAATCAGTATTTGATAGATACCTCCGGTGAAGGTAGTACAGTGGTACTTGATTGTGATTCCACCGCTACAACAGCGTATGATAGGTGAGTTGGATTTTTGTTTTTCTTAGGATCGATTAAATTTATTTTTACATTGTAGCTACATTGATCAGCCCGCTAACTCTTGGCAAACAAGCGTTTCCGTCGGGTGGTTCCTGCTTGTCACCGTATACATCACTGTCATCATCGGCCAACAAATCCCGTAACAGTGTAAAGCGTCTCTCTTGGAAGAAAATACAATCTGCGCAAAAAACCCCGTAACATTGCACCAAACCCATCATTCCGGAATCTGACAGCCGATGGTATGTGGATGTAGAGCGGCTGAACAACAACACAATGATGTATGAATTATCCTGGACCGTTAGTGATCTAGTTCGGGTGGTGGTCGTTTCCAGTGGCAGGTGGTGTTCTTTCATCGGTGTTGATGGCATTTGAATCCTAGGACTCAGACGAAATCTGCACTGGTCTCAAAAACAATGATGTATTTTCATTTTCTATACAAAGTATATGAATAAAGACAATTTTTATAAATGGTACAAATATGAGTAAGGGTATTTGTCTTTAATCTTGAAAACTATTAACCTGTAATATTTCAAATTTGAGATAAAACATTTATTGTCATGATAAAACAAATCCTTTTTTATTTGAAACATTTTGTACTTTATTTTAAAAGCATTGGTTTTTCATTTGACAGTTCTACAATTTGATTCGAAAGCTTCAACTTTTAAAATTAACGAGGGGCTTAACTTTTGATTTGATAGGCTACACATTTTTATTCTGAATGCTTCGGACTTTCTACCAAAAAGAACCAACGAAAACTTTTAATTTGACCAATGGTTTTTTTAATTTTAGAAATGATTATTTTTTGTGTGTATCTACTCATCGTGCGCGCAGCTAGCCACAGCAAAACACAATCTTTTTTGCATCGTAGATAGAGTCGTCCCCCTCGCTATTATACCACTATGCGTCCATGTTGTAATCACATGATTTGTAAATGTTTTATAAACGACATATTAGATTCATTATTCGACAACACTGATTCAGTCTAACAACAAGGCGAAATCAGTAGAGTAGTGGTTACCGTTTCCGCTTTCCAATTAGAAGGTCGTGAGTTCAATCACAAGCTCAACCCTTTTTTTTATTTGTGTTCTACGTCTAATTAATTTAAATAGTAATCATCGATCACATGACTTACGATAATGAATGCATTGATCTAGTTTAAAAAATAACCGAGCATTCCTTCCTTGGGATTGGAGTGGTGAAGAGGTAACATTGGTCTCATGTTAAACAACGATGAATGAATTAATCATTCCCACAGGGCCTTGAAGGAGCTAGAGTTGCGATCGGGAGTGCTGATAGGTATTTACTTTCAAGCGAGCTTTTATTGATTATAGAGTTGCCCATATGATGAATTCTAGGATAGCTCAGATGACAAGGCAAGCGGCTGGTAATCGGAAGGTACATGGTTCGAATCCCATACAACGACATGTATGTATTTAATAAATTTTCTAATATCGTGTGGTGCGAGCCACGTCAGAAATAATGAATTCAATTACACACTTAAGAAACACACCCTTCCCCTGTCCCCGTCCCTCTTATTTTCGGGTTAATTTTCTCACAGTTGAATAATCGTTTAATAAATGTATAATAATGTCTAATTAAACGTTACTTCACATGAGAATCAAGCGTATATAGAGCATCACTGTTTTAAGGAAGCAGTGATGTCTAATAAACGCTGAATAATCAAAAAATTTATCGAATGAACTCTGTTACAACTCATATAAGTCGAATAAAAGCTTCTCGACATACCTTATACAACACCAGTAGTTCAATGTTGTGGTTGAATAAATTCTCCAGATTTGTGTGAACAAAGCCTGAACAGAAGTTATTATTAAAAATAATTTAATTAATTTATCTTTATTAGGGAGGCTTTAAAATTATTAAAAATAGTACAAGTACTATTAAGTATGCAGTTGAATAAAACGGTCAAGAGGTCGTTTCTTCAATAGACGATTGTTTGTTGGGTAAGCCAACTTGTCGAATTGAAAACTTGTTGGAACCAAATCGACTTTGGTTACGCATCTTGATGTCATTTGTGACAACTGCCGCTGCTGTGGAGAAAAAAAAATCGACAAAAGCTATGAACACAGAAATTCAAAACAACCCAAAATTAAGTTCTTTTCACTCATCTCCCATGTTCCGTACGATAAGCCAAATTTGGGTAAACCGGCTCAAAGTAGTTTGCATTTAAGCACGGCAAAAAAAATTACCCATCGCTAAGTTATTTTCAATTTTTTCTAAATAGCGAGAGGAAATGAAACGGGCAGAGGTCAAATAACTCAAATTTGAGTTTAAAAAACCCAAGCGGTGGGTAGTTTTGTTTTTCTGTGAATACCTTCGTTTCAGGAAAAATAAAACAAAATTGCGTCTTCATGGCCAAATAAAATCTAATTTTCACTTAAAAAATTCACCATGCAGCTCGTATTCTAGATATAAAATGCTATAGCATGCTTGCACTAAGGATATCAAAATTTCCCGAAATGAAATTCCCTTGTGACAAAAATTGCGTTGTCAGCATTTAGCAAAAAATAATCCAACCTCCGTCACAGCTTCATCCGCGCACACAATTTGGTCACTGCTATTCAAAAAGAACTCCAGAGTTGATTGATTTTTTTTATCATGCAATGCAAGATTGCCCAATCCTATAAGTGAGCTTCACATCGGTACATGTGCTTCACACTCAACTTCACACCCGATGTATTTTGACAGTTCGGTACAAAAGCTCGCAGATGCAGCGCTGCCATTTATACAGATTTATCTGTATTATACAGATTTTTTAATCTTAATACAGACCCGATACAGAATACAGATTTATCACAGATTTTTAAATTACAATACAGATTTATACAGATTTTTATAAAATGCTTGAGAAAAAAAAAATCAAAATTTATAAAAACAAAATAACTTTTTTGATTGTATGGGGATTTACAGTATTAATTGAATATTTCCAATAGAGCTTTTTGACGTTTAATCGGCGCACACTACTGTACCATTTAAATCGAATTAGTGCGAGCAAGAGAGAAACAGATTAGTGGGAAAACAAACCGTCCATTCATCCAAGTGTGCCAGATAGAGAAAGGCTATTAAACGTCAAAAAGGTCTATATAAGCATGTATGTTAAATACAAGAAAAGTGCCCGAGCACATTAAAATGGTACAAATACAAGTACTCGTAAACATTTTACTTGCATTGAAAATGTATTTCATAAGAAATTGCGGATTTTCTGATATTCTCCATACTGCAAAAATGATTTTACCAGCACTGGCGGGGCGACATCTATCGACTTTTCGGTATAACTACCACACAAATGATGTAATTAATTGTATTCATCTATATTAAAAATTTCAAACTTTTTTGCATTTAAAACTGCTTATCAGGTAGATAATGAATAGAAACTAAAATCTCTATACAATTTCAAACGGCTTCATATCACTCTTATAAATAAGTACGGACGATATCACAAATGGCGCAATTATATCCCGTATGGTTAGTACGATAGCCCGAATAGGTGGTTAAGCACTTTTTATGGTTATTTTGTATGCACTGTATTTGTAAAACTACCCGCATAAACGCGAACCATCACATGACCTTACCGATAATGGTTAAAAATTGTTTATAATCCCTGCTAAACTTCAACTGAAATGGTTATGGAACTTTACATGAACGTTTGTGTGATAAAGTTTTAACCTTATGTATTATGGTTTTTTGGAAGCGGACCTTACAAATAATGGGTTGTTAAGAACCATTACCATTCCAAATTTTTGTTTTCTCCATACATTTTCGGAAAGAGAACTATATTAGAACGTTTTTACTTATGGTTTGAGAACATTAATGGTTATGGTTATGGTAGTCAGTAAGGTTCATTAATGGTTTTGTATTATCGCTCAACTTTACGTGAAATATATCGTGAATTGGTAATCAGTAATTTACAGGCAACCAATTCGCGATATATTCCACATAAAGTTGATCGATGTTACAAAACCATTCATGGACCTTACTGGTTACCATAACCATTACCATTAATGTTCTCAAACCATAAGTTAAAAGGTTTTAGTATAGTTTTCTTTCCGAAAATGTATGGAGAAAACAAGAATTTTGAATGGTAATGGTTCTTAACAACCCATTATTTGTAAGGTCCACTTCCAAAAAACTATAATACTTAAGGTTAAAACTTTATCATTAAACGTTCATGTAAAGTTCCATAACCATTTCAGTTGAAGTTTAGCAGGGATTATAAACAATTTATAACCATTTTAGGTAAGGTCAATTTATGGTTCGCGCTTATGCGGGTACAAAACATGATTAATTAAGAAAAAAATCGTCAATACAGAAAATACAGATTTTTTAATAGAGTGGATACAGATTTTTTATAAAACCACCTGGCAGCTCTGCGGCAGATGTGATGGGTCCCGAAATTACCGAATTGTCACGCGTAATCACTCCCTCTTTTTCGTTCGTATCATCGTCGGTCCTTCATCGCTTTTCTGACTGGCACATCAAGTGGGCTCGTCGTCGTCCGAAAATTCCGGTGTCTCGTTTTTCCCTTTGGTTCAAAGTTTCTACGGAAGCCCTTGAAAAAGTGCAATTAATCTCGCGATTCGCCTCGGTTGCAGTTTCGCTTTCCCGTCTAAGAGCACTGCAGCAGTAGCTTTCGGTTTCCTCCGTTCCGAGTGCAATTTGTGGAGGTAAGTAGCCAACGAGGGTGAAGCTCTCACGCAAGAAAATCGATTTTCTGAGTTTTTCCCTTTTTCGGAACTGATTCTCGTGCAGCGGATCGGTGTTGGTGGTGGTGCAATTTTGATGGCTGATCAGCAAGCAGTTCCGGTCGCCGCGACGGTAACCGAATTGAAACCGGACGCGGAGAAGAATGGGGAGGTTCCCGTTGCCGGGACCGTAGACGGTGGGAAGGCGGCCAAGGCCAAAAAGAAAAAGAAGAACAAGCAGCAACAATCGCAGGAAGGCCAGCAGGCTGGCGGAACTGAGACTGTGGCTGCGGTGGATAATAATAGTGCGGTGTTCTCGACGGCTGCTGGTCAAGAGACCGATGAAGCACCGTCCGGATCAGGAATGGCTCTTCCCGGAGCAGGTAAGAGGGTGATACAATCGGATGTGAATGTGTTGTGTTAATTTCCATTCTTTGGGTTCTAGGTCAACTTCCTAGTCAGGACATGTTGATGAATGTGATCGAACAGCTGAAGTTGAGTTCGCTGAAGCCGGCGAAAACGCCGGAGGAGGCCCTAAATAAATCATTTAAATTCTGGTCCACCCAACCGGTTCCCAGAATGGACGAAAAGATTGCAGTGAACGAACCCATCGAAGCGGACAAACAGATAAACGAAATACGCGAAGAACCGTACAGCCTGCCGGAGGGTTTCACGTGGGACACCATGAACCTGGAAGATCCGCTACAGCTCAAAGAACTGTACACGCTGCTGAACGAGAATTACGTCGAAGATGACGATGCAATGTTCCGGTTCGATTATCAGCCCACCTTCCTGAAATGGGCTCTGCAACCACCCGGATGGCGCGCCGAATGGCACTGCGGAGTACGGGTCGTCAAATCCGGCAGGCTAGTCGGATTCATTTCGGCCATTCCCGGTACGCTGAATGTTCACCAGAAGACCCAGAAAATGGTAGAGATTAACTTTTTGTGTGTGCACAAGAAGCTTCGCTCGAAGCGTCTGGCACCGGTGTTGATCCGCGAGATTACCAGAAGGGTCAATCGAACCGGGATTTTCCAAGCGGTTTACACGGCCGGAGTGGTTCTTCCGAAACCAGTTTCCTCCTGTCGCTACTGGCATCGATCACTGAATCCGAAGAAGCTTGTCGAGGTAAGTCCTCTTAGTTAGTCAACAAACCGTTATCGTTATCGTGAATCATCCATTTTTGCAGGTAAAATTCTCCCACCTATCGCGCAACATGACGATGCAGCGAACGATCAAACTGTACAAACTATCGGACGCCCCTAAAACTCCCGGTTTCCGGAAGCTGCGCGAGTCGGACCTGAAAGCCACCCACCAACTGCTTGAACGCTACTTGCTCGGATTCAATCTGACGCCGGTGTTCGACGAGGAGGAATTTCGCCACTGGTTCTTGCCGCAGGACGGCATAATCGATTGCTTCATCGTCGAAGATCCGGCCACCGGCGAAATCACCGACATGGTCAGCTATTACACGCTTCCGTCGACCGTGATGCACCATGCCGTGCACAAGTGCGTCAAGGCCGCGTATAGTTTCTACAACGTGTCGACCAAAACACCGTGGCTGGACCTGATTAACGATGCGCTCATTTCGGCGAAAAACCTCAATTTTGATGTGTTCAACGCACTGGATCTGATGGAGAACCGCAAGTTCCTGGTGCCGCTCAAGTTCGGCATTGGCGATGGCAATTTGCAGTACTACCTGTACAACTGGCGCTGTCCGAGCATGCAACCGGAGGATGTTGGCTTGATTTTGCTCTAAATCGCGTTCGGAAAGTTGGTGGTGCAACAATTATTGACGGTTGAGGGCGGCTTCTTCGCAGTGCGCCGGGGCCTGGTTTCGATTATTTTCCTGTTTTTAGTAGGTACTTTAAATGTTTTGCGCCAACAGCAGCAGCAGCAACGGGGACAGCGAGGACGATGGATTTTAGGGATACATATATTTCAATAATGTTTAGCAGTACAGGTACATATGTATAAATGGGACGCATTATACATTTATGTTACGAGCAAAATGTAATGAGTAATGCGAAAGGATGTTTCCTTCGGTAAACATAACGTACACAATAATGAAGCCTAGTTCGTGTCTATTTCTGAAGTGTGTGTGGCGTTTGGCTTTCGATGGAATTGGTAAAGAAATTCCTTTGTATATACTGTGGAAGGGCTCAATGAACCCTAAGTTAAGGGCAGGTCGAAAGTTTCATTTGGGAAGAAATAGCCGGGAAAGGCCTTTGCGCTTCTTGCAGAGCAGAGGCATGATGGGTCAGTTAATTCCTTTTTTTAATTTCATTATTTCAAAATCAAAAGGTTCAATGCAGTACCAATGATGGTTTGCTTTTTCAAACTATAGTTAGGGTTATATAAAGCCTGTTGATGTTGACAAACCTACTCTATTCACAAAAAACATAAATGTATGGGAAATCCGTCTGTACCAGTATACATAAAAGCGTTGAAATAGCAGCTTTGGGACGGTCTTCTTGCAGAGAGGTTCAGCAAAATTTGATTCTCATTTTGTTGAACTTTCTGCTAGAAGGTCGTCTGCTGATTTTTATAGAGATGATAAGTAAGTCACTATTTTCTCGAGTTTGTAGAAGACAAATCTAACTAATTTTAAATAATTGATGATATTACTTCATGCGTGAAGTTAACGATTTACATAGTTGGAGATGTTTAACGTCAAATATCACACGCAGAAAAATGGATTTTTGTTTCAGGGCCTAATGTATTTTGTTATTGATTCAAACATATTGTATCACTATTTCAACAAAACATATTTTTGAATCAACAAAATGTTTTTTAGAATCAACAAACAGATTATTGACTTTACAACCGGTTTGTTGATTCAAAAATATTTTTCTTTGAATTAACCTAATAATATATTTGAAACAATATCAAAAATACATTAGGCCCTGAGTCAAAAATATATCCATTTGAATTAAAAAACCATTTCTCTGCGTGCAGACTTAAAGTGGTCATGAGGAGATAAAAGTATAGAGTTGATAATTCTGTTAGAGTACGGCAGTGTGAAAATTTTATATGAAGTAATACAAACATGATTAGTTAAAGTGCATAACTCTAGATGGGAGCTTACCATCAATCATACTGTCATTGGTCGAAAGGAACAGTAGCAGAACATCCCATACCCGTGTCTCCTCGAGATCGTTAAGTTGACGATGACAGGAGCACATACAGCGGTAGAGGCAACAGTAGCTGCAATTTCCAAACCTATCGACTAGATACTTACGTCAGATGACGACATGAGTGTGAAACAATCGATAGAACTGTTTCGAACATAGAAGGTACGTGAGCAAATCGACGCTCATCTCTTGCCAGTGGTGACGGGGGGAGATACCTCTCACCATCCCTCCCCAACGGAGGAATTTGGTAAAGAAGATGATCAACCCGATTCGTGTCTTCCTCAAAATTGACCTTTGCTCGCTTTCTACTCTCTATATAAAATTTTCACACTGCCGTACTCTAATACCCCGTTCACATTACTGCGTATATCACGTGATATACGCTGTCTTGCAATGAGCACTCATACATCTAGTTTTCACTGGAAATCCTATGTATGAGTGCTCATTGCAAGACATCCTATATTACGTGATATAGAGTTACGTTGGAACATCTACCCGAGTCAGCAGGTCGTTAACCCAGCAGCGGACTTTGCCACAGCGAGGCACCACCTGAGTCAGCGGATCGTCAACCTGGCAACGGACTTTGATACGGCCAGCCTCATCGATTTCATCGAGGAGCACGGTCAGCAGATTTAGCTTATAAGTAGGACTAAGCATGACAAGAACGTTGTCAGTTAGTATTGTGAGCTAGGTGAATTACGTGCGAAGTGCATAATTCTGTGTGAAGGTGAAGAATCAGTGAAAATAAATGTTAGTTAGTTGAATTGTCCTTTTTTAAAAAGGTTATCACGGCCAGAGACTCGTGATTATAGCATAGAGGTAACTCTAAGACCAGAAGGTCACGAAGTAACGTGCTCAACTTTTTGGCTCAGCTCTGGTACTATCTTCGGTCCCAAGCTAATCGATTCACCCCTCGAAACATAGGAAAATCCACTAACCCCTCATTTTATCTGTCAAACTTTGATAGTGAATCAAAACAAACATTGTGTAGTACTAGAATTTGAGTAGAATGGGATACGTTAATCGATTTGCTTGGGACCAATAGGCTAGTCAAGTAGTGAGCCAATTTAAAATCGTTAGTTTCGTATTGATTGTTGATTATAGGCTGTAATTTGAACGGGGTATAACCATTAGAGGTAACTCTAAGATCACTGGGTCCCGAAGAAAATCATTATTATTTTTGGCTCACTCAGTACCAGAACAACGGTCCCAAGCTATTTCACTCACCCCTGCATGTTCTGCATGAATCCACACACCCCTGATGTTATCTATCAAACTTTCATAGCGAATCAAAACAAACATAGTGTAGTAATAGAATTTCAACTAGAATAGGGTACGTTAATCGTTTGCTCGGGACCAATAGGCTACACTGAACCAATTTGACATATTCCTGTTATGTGGAAGTCTAATAAATTTGCGCTATAAGATAATCCATTGAAAATGATATGATTGAAAATGTGTCAGGTAAATTCTATATGAATATCCGATACATTTACAATGCTCATAATTTGGTAACATTTATATGATCGTCGTATGATAAATGAAAATCGGTCAAATTATAATAATTAACTGAAATGGATTTGAAACCCATAAGCATAAGCTTTACTTTTCACCACAATATAATATATGTGTCATAAATCAATCGAAGTAAAGTTTATGTGAAAATCACATGAAACTTACTGCTTCTTTTGACACATATATTTAATCGATTTCTAAAAATAAATCGAAAAATAAACATCAGGCAGTGGGAGCTTTAACAGTTGTGTCTTTTTTTTTATTGTAGCTGATTTGGGATTCGATCCAGAACTGTTGAGGTGTGATGCTTTCGGTGTCTGTGCTCGATTCCATTGGGCCACGGCTGACTTTAAGATTGAGCTCGTTCAATTAGCATGAAGTAAGAACAGCTCTCCCGACATGGAATGTAGTGCAACGTTATGCTCGTTTTGCTAGAGTGAAGCAAAATAACACTGACAAATTTATGCTCCGTTTCGGTGGTGTCGTGTATTCAAATCTTTCTTAATGCTCCTGTGTGCAATAAAACAACGACTACATTATATGAGTTCATGGAACTCGTTCATGACACTCAAGTGTGAAGATTTACAATTAGAATCTTAGCTAATTAAATATTGCAGTAGAATCATTTTTTCCAATCTCAATACATTCTTTTCCGGAAACCCTTATCTTATGAAACAATAACAAACAAAGATTATTCAATACAGTCTCATTGTTGTTAGTAATATTTAGTTCAACTAATCATTTTAATGAGTGTACGATAACATCGTTGAAAATTGTTTCAATAATTTATAAAGAACAATCATTTAAGGTGTATTTTAATGGGAGCGATATTCATCCCAGAAAACCATGCCAAAACAAATGTTTGCTGTTGGATTTATTAAAAGGCAAATCTACATGACTATCTAATGATTGGGATAGATCTGTTTACAATCTTTATACCTCAAAAATCAAAGGAAGCTATTCCAATGAGATATATATGTTTTCCTGTACTGCAAAGTTGAATGACAATCCAATAGTTTCTACATGTCTGTTTACACGCGACATATCAACAAACGTCAAAAATCGTTAAAAGCAACTCCAATAAAATATACATGTCTATCTTATAAGATATATCTTTTAGTGAGCAACATTCTTCATGAAAACAGGTATATTTTACTGAGTTTTCTCATAGTGCAAATTTATATGATTTTCCATTAGTTTCTAGATATCTGTTCCCACCCATGACATATCAACAGTTTTTCACCATGAAATATATCAGACAATATTCATATACTTTGTACCTATCGCTAACCACGTTCGAAGCAAAGTATTATCAAGTACTAAGTATGTGAAATTATGATAGAAATCATTCCATATCGCAGTCATAGTTTTTAAGTGATAATCCAATGGAATCTATCAATCATCACATAGAATGAATAAATCTGCTGACATTGCTATGTTATCAGATGGATCCAATAAACGGTACATGTCGATTTGTTTCAGTGTACTAAAGTGGTGAGCCAATTTAAAATCGTTAGTTTCGTATTGATTGTTGGTATTAGTGCAGAACTTTGAGTAAATTCAAAGGTTTTATTGTAATTGTAATTGTAATTTATTTATCAGCACACACCCTGGTCGACCACTGTAAACCAAACTGCCGTTAAGCGAGTGTGTACTAGAGTGATGCAACATTTGATATTTTCGCTCCACAATACTTAAACGATTCCAAATCGGATCCTGACTAACCTCTCAAAATTTGAACCCATTTGGTGAGAAACTGAGATGGCACAAACCATATGAAGTTTGTATGGGAATTACTATAGTAAAACCAATATTTTTGTTCATGTCTATCTAATAATTCACCATATCGATCTGCTTCAAAAACTTTCAACTGTACTTTTAGGAAATTTTCACAGCTACAACTTTGCTCAAGACTACGTTTTGGTTAAATGCAAGGATCGAAAGTTATCAATGGTTCAATGCTTTGATGTCTTATGATAATGCTCAATCAACTGCTCAGCAGGCAACATTGGTGTTTCTGGGGCGTTGAATAGGACACAAAAATCATGGCTACTATGTCACACTGCAAAATACAGTGTTGCCTACAGAGCAGCTGCTTGATCATGTCATAAGTTTACCAATCTCTTAAATAATTAATAACTTTTACCTGTCTCGTTTTACATAGAAACAATCTTGAGCAAAGTTGTAGCTGAGAAAATTTTCTATATGAATGGTTATCGAACGGTTTCGCAGCTCAATATGGAAAAAGACTAAAAGGCAATGAACAAAAAGTTGAGATTTCCCAGAGTAATTTACATGTAAACTTCAAATGGCTTGTGCGAAGTCTGTTTCTAACCAAATGAGTTGTAACTTTGGGAGGCTAATCAGGACCCGATTTGAAACCATTTAAGCACTGTGGAGCTAAAAAGTGAACACCTTTTTTATTGACAGAATGTCTGGTTTAACG